ACCGCGTTCCCCAGGCTCCTATAGCAGTTGTCACGAAACTTTGATCCACTACACAGCACAACAAAACGTCTCCGAAAGACGTCGTCTCAGAGGTCTACTAGACCAAATGCCAAATGTTTCAGTCAACTTGTTACTACTTGTCTTCTACTGGATTATGGCACTCTGCATACAAGGTAAATTATATATGTTAAGAATAACTGATTTTATGTCATCACAGTTAAGAAACAACAATAAATAAATATAAACAAACTTTCAAACAGTGTGCTATTCAGATGTCATCAGAACATGTTCGAAACAGCTGCAGTCACATGACTCAATCATAGTAGTCCTCCAGATCCAAGTTAGGGTTCAACAAATCTTCCTTAACGGATGCAATATCAGTGCCGTTTAGAATGAGGTTTTCGATCACTTCTTCGAGGTCAGTTTCGCCGATGAGCACCGCGCCATGTACTTTGTTGTCTTGTACGAGTACTTTTACGTACTCCACGTCTAAAAAAACACAACCAACGTGATGAAACAAAGACAACCAAAAATTATTTTGAAACCTAGAGTCATAACAATGTAATGCTTTTGGTTGAAACGCATTGTGTTTGATATCATAAGCACGCAGGCTGTTCGAGTCCCAACGTTGTGAAATTATTGTGCATTTGCTTCGCAAGTCGTTCACAAATACAATTTAACTTTGGCATGCTTAAATGGTCTCTATACCTTCTAGAAGCAAAGAAAGCAAAAAGGAAAGTTTGAAACAATTGGACTGCCGGTCTTCGTTACGCTCTCATGATGTCCACATCAACATGGACAATTCTTTTGCATGAAGTTAATGGTGGGACACATCTCCATGTTCATGCAATTAGTCAAAAGTAGCCCATCTTAGAGGTAGAGTTGACAACTGCTATATGACAAGCATAGTATGTAATCTGCACTGCTATCTGCTTTGCAAACAGATATAACAATAGCCAAAAGTTGCAATACCCTGATTAGATACTGGCAGACGGCACAAAGAAAAAAAAACGTTTGTCATGCCTTATTGAGAATTAATTTTATCATTGGGTCGTCAGTCGTTCTGTCGAGTATTATAGGTACTTAAATTAAACCTAACAATCCTATGCCACTTAAACTGGACCAAGAAAGGGGCGAATATTAATACAAAATATGAATAATATACTGTAAAATGACATGAAAGCACACGACGCTGCAAAATACGATAGAATAAAATAAACAGACAGCGAAACCATGCCATGTCTGTCACTCTTTTTTCTACACATGTTATTTTCCTGTTTGGCTAATGCAGAACTGCGCCGTTAGATATGCTACAACAGACCTTACTGATACGCTATCGCATTCGGAACATTTTCCAGAGAAAACGTTTTCGAGAAGTTTGTTACTGTCAAAGTTGCTTGCAGCATCAAAATCATTGCCAGCCAAAAGTATTCCAAGGAACGACCGATGAGTAACAGTTTTCTGAGAGCACAGGCTACATAATTTTCGGTGGATCTCTTCTATACTGCCAAACATTCACTACATTTTTTGCACCCCAATTGTGACAAATGTGACGGCTTACTTATCGCCAATGCTGACTGCCGTGTTATCTGAGAATGTGATCTTGTAAAAACATATGTGCAACTGTGGATCGGCGACTTAAAAGAATGACAAAACTCAGCCACCGAGTCGAGATTCTCTGCGCATAATAACTCAATCATCGGTACCTTGTAAGTTCAAATATTTTGACTAGAATAATTTTTTGCTCACCTGACAACGGATATTCAGTTTATTAGAAGTGCGATGCAGCTACTCTTACGGACACTATCACTGACTCCAAACGTCCAGAACTAAGTTGTGATAACCACAATAGGCAGAAATTATTAAAAACGAATATTAAATATGAAGCAACAATCTCTGATCATACCCCAAAGTCATTCAGTGTTTCCTTACATCTAGGAAGCTAAAAGACTGTTCAAGAAGGACACAGTTCCAAAGAGTTTTAGCAGCCTGAAGTGGAAAATCGCATAAATGTCCTGGGTGAAGAAAAGACCGTTTAACCTTGAAGTTGAAAAGCCTGTTGAACCCGTTGAAGAGATACCTGCTGAACAGTCACTATCCGTACGAGAAAATGTACATAAACTTTAACCCCGATATTATAGGATTATCAGCAAAATACTAGTTGTTCAATTGCCGGTAAGAAACAGTATCATGTCACTATTCAGATTTATACGGCGCAATAAAAATCTAAGCATTTATAACATAAGCATTAAATTTATATAGAATATGCCTTTATATTAAGTTTACATCCAAAATTACATGCATTCAAAACTAGCATATATATTATTTTTAGGCTTCATAGAAATTCTGACTTTCATGAAATATTACAATGTAGTTGAACTATACCATTCAGGTTTACAACAAATACGCAAAGGAGACAGAGGAGATTTTTCCGACTGTTACAAAACAAGAATAGACCGGACGACGACTGTCAGCAACAACGGCATTCAACGATCACAGCCAATGGCCACATTAAAAAGAGGCCCATTAAAAAAAGTCGAAAAGTCCGCCATCTTAAATATCGTTGTCTCATTCGCGGTTCACTAATTGCCGAAGTACTTGACGTGCATATCGCTGTACTTCAGTTTGATACATGACGTCTACATAAGTCATTTCTCATCTCTCTTTTTCAATAACAACTTGGAAATGAAGTAGCACTTTGGAAAACCAATAGCTACAAAGAAAAAATGACACCCTTCTCCTAAAGTATAGTAATCTTGGTCAGATCACTACGTAGTTTCGAACGGGAAGCGAATGATAGAAAAGGCTAACATATGCAATCAATGCATCAATCAATCATGTCTGGCATCACCAGGGTGAAAGGGCAGCAGACGTGTTCAGGATGCGGATCGACGGTGGACAGCAGTCATCAACTCGCTGCTGGAACTACGTGTGCTAGATACTCTGATTTATCAGAATCGTGTTGCAATGAATCTCGGGTAGAGAACACGTTCCTGCATTACACTGAAAAGGAAACAAAAGATTAACCTTTTCTCTTTTGACACCGGATTGAAATTGTGTAACGGTATTTGAGCCCCCGCAATGCATGGAGGCAAAAGCAGCGTCACTAGGCAGGGCCGAACAAAAGCCTGTTCGAACACCTGTAGATATTTCACTATCAAACGAAAGTTTGTCTCCGCTGGAATGTTGATTTTTTTTTAATTTCATGATTGCGTCATTTATACGCCCTTGTTATAATAAAATTAACGGTGCGGGGCTGATATTCGTTGCTATGACATCAGACAGGAGTGCCTTATTTTTAAAGGCAGAGCTCATAGCCTAAGGCAAGCGCAGTTTGTGGTCCGCTGTTTCGTAACCATGGAACGGTACTCATTTATCAACCTCGGAACGAAGAAAGACGATTGACCCCCAACCACAGCATGAACTCGAGACCTATCAGAGCTTTGAAGCTCGGCCAACTGTGTGGCGAATTCCTTACTAAAGGAAATTCGCGAATAAGACAAAGACTGACCTTAAGGGGAATCGAACCTGGCTCCTCCAGAGTTCGAAGCAGACCTCTCAGACACTGTGCAAACACGACATTAAACTGGGATTTACACTAAATGAGCGGA